TTATCAACGATTTTCTCTGCACTCTCGAATGAGATAATTAATGAGACTCGATTTAACGTGTGTTATATGTATAATATTATATATATATATACTATAATCAATCATTAATTTGTAATAATAACTTTATTCCAGAAGGAATCATCATTGCTAATAAATTCTTTGGTGAATTTTAATATCTTTTCTTCTTATATAAATATATATTATTTATATATATAGATTATATACAATAGTTATATTATTGTATTTTTCAGTAACCTCTTCCTTATATTCTCTTTATGAATGATTAATTTATATAAATAATAATGGCGAAAAAGAGGCCGCATTGAACGATTCCTGTAAAGCACGCGATCAAAAAGCCTTTGGCAAAACCACAGACGGCAAGTCATTGAACTTTCGTCCATAAATAGTTTACAAATTCTATTCATGTTAATCGATTACGGGTATTCGTTCGAGAAATTGTGATTCGAATGTATCGAGAACGTCACAGTATCCCTTCGATTTACTTCAGATTAATCAGTTTCGAGGCGTTGATCGATACGATCAAAACCTTTTCAACCTTTTTATTCCATTTAGTTACATTAAATATTTACTGATTCGTAACTTTTTATATCGTATAACCTTAAAAATGATCATACATGTGTTGATCATATGTATTATCTGATTTTAATTCCCATCAAGGACATTTAGGAGATCAAGTGTGAAAAAGAATTAAATGAAAATTAGGAAGAACATCGAAGGAACATTACCTGAATTTATAGGTCATTATTGTTTATAAGGTAAAAATCATAGTAGAATGTTTTTAAAAATTAATGTAGAATTGGGGGAGAACACATAAGATCGCGTTTCTTCCTGCTTTCTATGACTCCAATCTAACACCTCGACTAACAGACGAGACCTTGGAAAAGTTTCTGGCATTCGGCAAGTTCGCTAGGATTGACCTTTTATCCGAGCTTACGCAAGGGTGAACTTCGTCGGTGCTTTCTCGGCACGCAAAGTTCAGATGCTCTGTAGACATTCATGTCTCGCTCCAACAAGTTCCCTCTTACGTTTACCTATCATCTATTCCACCCCCATTAACGTTCAAACGAGTTCTTCATTTCTTTCAAATTTTATCCAAAGATTACGTTGCTCCAAAAGATGCAAGAGATGAAAAGAATACGATTCTATAAAAAATAATTTGCGAAAGATCGTGACTAATTTAATTAGAGAAAGAAGAGGATAAAAAAAAAACAAAAAGAGGTTAGGAGTCTAGGCCGTAACTATTCGTATCATCCTGTTAGTTTATCGCTCTTGGTACCTCTTTTACTCCTTCCACCTTCACCCTTAAAGCATAACAAGCCTCCAACGGCGAGTAGTTTAGCTATTATTGACGAAAACAGACCCCCTGCTCTAATTGCGAGCCGATCGATAAGCATCGATGAGAGACTCGTATAGTACCCTGAGTAGCAGTTGGAACTTATCCTTCCCGGAGTTTACTTCGAACAAAGTTTATATTATCTTTCTCTTTTTAAAAGAGTGATAGATAGATCTTTTTGAAAATTTCGATTTCTCATATAGTTTAAAAATTGGTTCGACGCGTTGCTTACAACTTGACGATATTTTTCTAAGAAAATTTGTCTTTACTCCTTTCTTATTTTATTTTTTTGATTGTCTTATTATTCTTTCTTTCATCATGCATCTTCGAAGTTTCGTTTATTAGGTTGACCAACACGTGTTTGTTGTCGGCTACGATCGTAAAGGAATTTCTTGATACTTTGCTTACGTTCATCGCAACCTGTGGTTCGTTCATTCATTTTCTTCGTCTTTATTTCCTTCTCTTCTTCCTTTTCTTTTTTTTTTTTTCGACATTTCTGGAAAGCGTTGAATCGTCGTTGTCATTGTACGAATTACAAATTTTTCTTTTCTTTTCTTTTCTAAAGTTTCGCGAATGAATTGAAGATGCACGTCGATGATCGGTTGTGGATATTATGCATATTTTAACATGAAAGAATAATTGATACTGAATAAAAAATGGATAAATACGAGAATATCGAAGTTGTCGGTGAGGGTAGTTATGGTGTCGTAATGAAATGTAGACATCGTGAAACTGGCCAAGTGGTCGCGATAAAGAAATTTTTAGAAACTGAAGAGGACGTTCAAGTTCGAAAATTGGCCCTTAGAGAAATTCGGATATTGAAGGTATTCCTCTTGCGTTCATATCACCTATCAATCTTCTTTAATTACAATAGATCTACTTGATTTTTTTTCTTTTAATATTCTTCTTTTCAATGTAGAAACTGCGTCACGATAATCTTATCAATATGATCGAGGTGTTCCGCCGTAGAAAAAGATTTTATTTAGTTTTCGAATTCTTGGATCACACTGTTCTCGATGAATTAGAACGAACTGGCGATGGTCTCGGAGCAGAGGTCTCAAAACGTTACATTTTTCAAGTACTTCGTGGTCTGAACTTCTGTCACAATAATCACGTGAGTGATCAAGCATTGGTTTATGATATTTTTTTATATTGCGTACGTCTGGATGAAATTTTAAAGAGTACGATTAGATATTTTTGTAAGAAATTTTATGATTTTTAAGAAGAGATGTTATACTTCATTTCTTATTTCAGGATAATTTGTATTTTTATTGGGTTTTTTTTTATTTTCCATTGGTTTGTTTAATTTTCTTATACTAATTATGAGATTTAAAAGGAAAGTAAATTATAAGGAAAAATTTCTATATCTTTACTTTTTATTTCTTTATCGCATTTCATTTTACGTGTCTTTCATATTTCACATTGATTATAGATAACGTTTAAAGATAAATGCGAGATAGTTGTATAGATTTTTTTAATACTGATCTTGTTCGATGCGTAATGAAACGAGATGTTTTATAACAATTACTTGAATTATAAATGAATGATGTAATTGTAAAAATCGTATAAGTAATTTAAAATTTACGATCGAGTGCATAATGAAATTTTCGAAAAATGTATTAATAATTAAATGTATATCAAATATAATTTTGTATTAATATATAGAAAATATTTACAAATAATATATTTTTTTCGAATAAATTATTAATAATAAATAAATACAATACGGGTTTAATAAATATGCCAATTTGACAAGGTAAATAAAATACATATAATTATTAACAAATTTTCTGGCTTTGACGTACGATTTTGAATGCACCTAGCGTGACGATGTTTTTTATTAATAGTCATATGGTAGAAGCAACAACGCCAACAACGATTAGTTGAAGGCTCGTAGAAATAATATTTAGAGAAGGTCTCAAATATACATCAATTTAATATAAATAAATGTATGTTCCATTATATACATACGATTGGACATGTAATTGCTATTGTTGTTACTTATTAGAAAAAGTAAAAGTTCAAAACTTATTTGAGGCAAAAGTTTTATTAATTGAAATTCTTTTATTCAATTTGTCTTATATATATATAACAACCCATATTATTCGCTATTATTTTGTATGTTTGTTTTAATTGGTATAATAAATACGTTTTAATTATACATACATATATATTGAAGGAATACTATCTATATTTATTATGTAATAATATAATTACATAAATTTATTTATATTAAATAAAATACACAATGAAATTGATTTGTTCAATTATCAATCCAATTTCTTTCGGAGGAATAAAAAACAGAACAAAAAACGGGTCTTTTTTATCGTTAGATTATGCACAGGGATGTCAAACCAGAGAATGTCTTGGTTTCGTCGAACGGTGTGATCAAACTTTGCGATTTCGGTTTCGCACGATTGGTCGGCAGCTTGAAAGAATCCTGTACCGATTACGTAGCAACGAGATGGTATCGTGCACCAGAACTGCTCGTTGGTGATTCGAGATATGGCAGAGAAATAGACGTTTGGGCAGTCGGTTGTCTTTATGCTGAAATGATGACAGGAGATCCAATTTTTCCAGGAGACAGTGACATCGATCAGCTTTACAGGATCACTAAAGTCTTAGGTAAGATTTGAAAAATAAATTGATATAATGAAATATTAATAATTATTTTGCTTATATATACAGGTAGCCTTTGTGGTAAACACCAGTCGTCAGTTGGATCAAACAGTTATTCTAAACAATCATTAAGACTTACTGCTGTCGACGAATTTATGATTTTTCAAGGACCATTATCCTTACGAAATCTTTTTCCTTCATGGAGTTCAGTCAGCTTGGATTTCCTTTCGCAGTGTCTTCGTCTGGATCCAGATACTAGGCCTAAATGTTCCATTTTATTGCATCATCTTCTATTTCTTCAGGACAATTTTAATGTGAAATTTCTTGAAGAATTACAGGAATGTATCGCTAAAGAATCGAATTTAAATCCTCTTTTGAAGAAAAAAATTCAGGATCGAAAAGCAAGCATTCTTTCGATTAAACCATCTCCAAGAGTTTGTCGCAGCAGTACTGGCAGGKATACATATTTTATTTTTTTACAATTATAATCAATTTTTATATATATTTTTTGTTTTCTTGGCTAAACAATTCGAATATTTTTAAGGTGGCAAATGACTATTTTACACGATACGAAAGAATTAGCAAATAAAATAGAATTTGATAGGACTATTAAATGCGAAGAAGTACAACGAACTGGAAGACCATTGGCTTCGCAAATCAATCGTCCACGAGAAGTCTGCTACTTTGGTCCTGTCTCAGTGATACCAAATACGACTTACATACGTAGGTTGGAGCTTAAAGGTCTTCAAATAGCAAATTCGAAGGGTTGCACTTTACCAGTCTTAACGCCGAAAGATTCAATGGAAGCGAAAACAAGTGGCAAAAGAAAGAGGTTCGATTTACCTTCTGTTGATCACTAAAAACGTAAGCTTATTATTTAAAACTATTTTCATTGCTTCATCGTGATTTTTCCGTTGATAGAACCTTTTATTATGAAATGAACACGTAGTACGACTGATGGAAGTATATATATAGTTATGCAAATTTTATATAATATATTATATATATTGGTATAACATATATATATATATATAAAAGGATTTATTTTATATTTGATTTATTTTTTAATTAATCGTCAAATTAGCTTAATTATTTATGAATGCTGACGCGTGTCAATTCTTTTTGTCTTTCATATAATAACAATTTAATGATAAAATTATTTTCGCGAATATTTAGAGATAGAATTATTTAGATAATACTTCTATTTATTTGATCAGAGAATGTTTACTCATTTTTGGTCAGTATTTTGTAAAATAAACAAATTGTCAGTATATAAGAATAATTTTTTTCTCAGTAAAAATAATAATTTGTAAGTATTTTAAATAGATAGTCAATATTTATAATAGAAATCTATAAATAATTATCGAGATTTATGTTTTTATCGCTATTAAATAGATGCGTGAATCGTTTTAATATATTCTATTCTGTAACATTTGATTGACAAAGATAAAGTACGAAACGATGTTGAACGATCTGTAACAATATATGTATAAAAAGTGCGAATATGTATAAAATTTTGGCTGTTGTTGAGTGTGAAAAATTAGGGATCTTTCACATTCACGAAATTATCGCTTCGATAAAAGATTTGAATGAAGTAAACATTCTATTTTATATTCTTATAAATTGTAAATAAAATATGAAGTATTATAATACGTAATACGATTATATATGCGAATATATATATTTGTAAGATTTCATTATTAATTTAGAAACTTTTATCATAAAGATGGGAAAGTTTTAGATCTATAATGAAAAGTGATAGCTGGAAAAATGAAATTGGCATCATTAAAATTGCTTCCAACATAATATTGAAAATTATACGAAAAACTAGTTGAGGATTACTTTAACGAGGCGAAACGCAGCATTTGGACATAAACGCGTATAAGTTTCCTGACCTGATCTACTTGCATAATATAGACGGCCAAAGTTCTCGACTGTAAGCGTGGCCAAGAAAACTCTAGTGAAATAGTATACGGAAGAAGACGACTTTTTATAATTCAGTATTTTTCGATTGACACTTATTGTTAGCCAATGCATTTAGTTTGTATCGACTCTGTAATTTGATTATCTATATAGATTTTCAAATTTAACGTCTGTACAATTTTAGATGAATTTTCAAAGAGTTCAAAATCCCAAATAGTACAAATTTATTTGAATTGTAATTTCGTTTTTCAATGTGAAGTAAAATTTGTCAAAGTTTAAAATTTCGGGTATCATCTTTCTGAGAAAAATTCATTGAATGTAACTTCTATAATATTATATTCTTCTGTTAAAAAGTATGTGTTTTATAGAGAAAAATTCTAAACTGTTCGAAAATTTCGCCGATACGATCGATAAGATAGATATTATATAAGTATATATAATAACAAATGATTATATTTAAATAGTATGCAGAGAGTTGATTTATTTATTATGCATTTAGTCTATTATTGAAAAATGTTCAATCTACACATTAAGCTTGCAATTTATAAGAATTCTATTTCATATTATAGTAATTATTTCAACAACGGTTATATGTGCATGCACATTTAATTTTTCACATGATCCTCTCTTATCGTGATCAATTTATCAATTTTATCTTTGTTCTTCGTGCATATGGATTACATATTAAAATCACGAGGCAGAGCCATCTATCGGAGAATTCTCGAAATACGTAAACATCATTTGATACAATTTTGCGGATATTTCTATGACGCGTAATATCAATTTGTCGAGAAATTTCCAAGTAAGCAAAATTTATTGAAATTTACCGAGGGAGCGATTTTTCAATTTTATTCCAACGAAGTTATAATTTTGAATAATGTTACCTGAAATATTGAAGTTTCCTTATTTCCTTCATTGTCTTGTAACATATTTGCATGTACTCCTTGTCGGGATAAATGAATATGCCGTGGGCATATCGGTATCGTATGAAATTACAGAAGAAAATTACCAGCCGCTCTATCGGACACATACTATAATTCTACAATTTAAGAAGAAGAGTTAACCAACGATGATATCCGACTATTTTTAGACATATAATTTGTACGTTCGTCGTAGAGTACCATTTGAGAACTGGCTAGACATCCCTTATCCTAGAACATGGGGATAGGTCGATATGGTTTATAGTGCTACAGTATTATCGTACGATGCGAGCCACGAGAGAGGTTACTAACCCTCAATGCAGGGCCGCATTCGCTCGTTGGCTAGGCACTTATTTTTTTTGACAATCTTTAACTGTATTCAAATCTATTATTGCATGTATATAATTACTTAATCGTTAACGAAAGTTAATATAGATCGTACAAGTGGTTTGTATAATGGATATTTCAATAGGTCTAAGTATGTAATATCAATTTGAAAGATTTACGATGAAAATTCAGACGATAAATATTTGTTTTGATTACCTATTAATATTATACGAAAAAACATTTCTTATGTAATATTTATTTTAGAATATATACGATCAGATATAACAAGCGTGGGCGTTAAATGGTATAGATGATGAACATGACCTAAGGATAAAGTATAAAAGGTATAGGAAGAGAAGAATTAGAATTAGGGAATGATATAGGAGGTTCTATTTATATCTCGCTTCGATTGTAGTACACTCACGCGTTTTCTTGTTACGTGGCTTTGTAACTTGCATTACCGAGTCAAGCGAAGCCTATGCATTTTTTATTTCGGCTTACTTTAAAGCATCATGTAAAACAACCATCGGTAGACACGAACAGGACGCTTGATTATCATGTAAAAAATGTATAGAGGAAGACACCTTAACGTATTTCGTGCGATAAATTTGCATCATTAAAACTTCATTTACTCTTTCATGAATTTTAAGAGAATATTTTTTACTTCAAATTTTTAATCGTTATTCTCTTGACATAACATGCTAATTAAATATAAATTGATAATATCACTTGATGTAAGATAATAATGATAAATGTATAATATACGCGCGTGTTCACGCGTGCGTGTGATTTTACTCACCTGACTTAATTTTCGGTTCAATTTTCGTCTGTGAAAAGGATCTGCGAGTTTCGAAAGAGATATAGGGAGAAATGAGGAGGACGGGTGAGATGTGGGGATGCGGAATAAGGGGGGGGGGTAAAGGGGAGGAGGAGGGTTGGGTACGGTGGAGAGTGTTAGAGAGGAGGAAAGGGGTAAAGTCTGGAAAGGGTTGCAAGGGGCAAACGGATGACACGTTGGAGAGGAAGAGAATAAGAGGGTGGTCGATAAGAGTAGTTTTTGACACACACGACGAGTGTACATTTTTAAAGGGTCTTTTTATTATTTTTTTTTTTTTTCATGGAATTTCATCCATCCTTGAAATATAATGAATATTCCGCAAAAAGGACAGATAGATATATTTGCGACGAATGTGACGAGAGGATAAGGTTGGATCGCTGGTAGTGAAAAAAAATAACCGACCGCTCCCTCGTTTTCCGGTATTATATATATATATATATATATATATATATATATGTATGTATGTATATATAATATATATATATAACGAGCCGGAAGTAAAATGAGAAATAAGAAGAAGAAAGAAAAGGAAAAAGGAAAGTCGAAAGGTCGAGGACCCGGGGTTCTCGAGGAACATGATTTTTTGTATCGTCGTTCTCTCTCTCTCTTTTTTCTTTTTTCTTCTTTCCCTTCATCATTTTGCATCCCCACCATTTTCCTCGTTCATCTCGATCGATCTATGTATGCATGTACGTATATTCATAACGTAAATTACACACATTCCAGTTCCGATAAACGAGCAATATTTTTTTGCGTGCATTTCTCTCTCTCTCTCTCTCTCTCTCTCTCTCTTTCTTTCTTTCTTTCTATTTTACTCGCTCCTTTTCAAACTCTCGGCTTCTATCAGTCTGTCTATTTGTCTATCTCACTTTTTCTTTCTTTCTTTCTTTCCGGCTTCAGCAAGCGACCTCTTTGGGATTGGAAAAGGCTTCGCTCGTTCTTCTCCCTTTTTCCATCGGAGAGAAAAACGCGTTGTGCGTTTTTTATAGGCACAATTTCCCTGTTCCCGTTAAAATTGAATTCTGTTATTTTAATATTATTATCCGAGAAGTAATGTGCCAAAAGAGGATCAAATTCAAATGTTTCGTCTTCGCGCTCAATTCCCCCGTAGTTTTTATCTATTATTTTTTTTCCTTTCCTATCTTTTTTTTTTTTTTACTCATCTTCTTATACGTAAATATTCGCCTATTAGAATTTTCTTTCTCTGAATTTTGAATTCAGCCGAATGCACCTTGAATGATGAACACGAACGATTGTGCGTTTATGTCCCCCTTCAATATATTCTTTTCTTTTTTTTTTTTTTTTTTTTTTTTTTTTTTT